CGTGACAACAATAACAAATATAATTTAATGATAATAACTACAACAACAAATATATAACATTGATAACAACAACAACAGTAACAGCCTTCCACATTACAGGTTGTACTTCGCCTTTCAAATCCTATGGCACGAAGGGGTGCCTGCAGGTCGTCCTCGGGAAACGGCCCCTGACATGGCACAGTGCCAGAAGCGAGTGCCAGGCCAAGGGAGGTGATCTGGCTGTCCTGGACGAGGCAGAGAAGTTCAGAGCGCTGTCGGCTGGGATCGACGAGGAACACCCGGGTGAGCGGTTGAAGAAGTGAGATTTTGTTTGTGAATATTATATATATGTGTGTGTTATACAGATATATATGTGTATAACATATATATAAATATATGTATATATATATATATATATATATATATATATATATATATATATATATATATATATATATATATGTATATATATACATTTTTTTATCATTTACTAAAATTCATGCTTGTACGAACACATCACGCTCCGTGCATATGTTTGAGAGAGAGAGAGAGAGAGAGAGAGAGAGAGAGAGAGAGAGAGAGAGAGAGAGAGAGAGAGAGAGAGAGAGAGAGAGAGAGAGAGAGAGAGAGAGAGAGAGCGAGAGCGAGAGGAGAGCGAGAACGAGAGCGAGAGAGCGAGAAAGAGAAAAAAAAGAGAAAGAGAGCGAAATAAATCCAGACAGACTAACAGACACAGAGAGAGAAAGAAATACCATCCCCGCATCAACATCACAAGCAATCAATTTTCCCTTTCCTCAAGATCCCCTTCTTCCAGACATGACCAAGGGCGGCTTCACCTTCTGGGTCGGAGCTGAGCGGGTCGAGTCCTCGTGCGCTGGACGAACGGCGAGCCTGTGGAGCCGAATGCGGAGTTGTGAGTCTTGGGGCATTGAGGGCTTGGTGAAGGGCTTGTGCATATATATAATATATATATATATATATATATATATTATATATATATATATATATATATATATATATATATATATATATATTATATATATATATATATATATATATATATATATATATATATATATATATATATACAAACACATATGTGTGTGTGTGTGAGTGTGCATATATACAATGCACGTGTGTGCATTGTATGTATATATATATATATATATATATATATATATATATATATTATATATATATGTATATATATATATATATATATATATATATATATATATATATATATTTATATATTTTTTTTTTTTTTTTTTTTTTTTTTTTTTTTTTTTTTTTTTTTTTTTTTTTTTTTTTTTCATACACACACACACACACACACACACACACACACACACACACACACACACACACACACACACACACACACACACACATATATATAATATAGATATATATAGATATAGATATAGATATAGATATAGATATAGATAGATAGATAGATAGATATACAATGTATTATATATATATATATATATATATTATATATATATATATATATATATATTTATATATATATATAATAACATACAACACACACACACGCACACACATATATATAATATACCAAAAGTGATGTTCTCATATTGTAAAATAATACTTTGAAATTTAATATCTTGATTGAACCAAAGCAATACCATTATTGGATTTCTGCGGTTTTAAGTCTAAAGAAAGATAACAATGATAACAATAATGATAATGATAGTGAGAATAATAATAATTATCTTTATAATAATGTCAATAACAATAATAATGATACAATGATAATAATAATAAGAGAAGGAAATCCATGGTAATAATAATGACACTGATGATCATGGTATCAATAATGATAACGATAATAGTGATGATAATGATGCTAATGATAATAATAATAGTAATAATAATAATGATAGCAGTCGTCCTAATAATGATAGTAATAACAATGATGATAATGATCATAATGATAATATAAAACAACAATAATTTTTATTTTTTCATGTTCTCTCTCTCTCTCTCTCTCTCTCTCTCTTCTTTCTCTCTCTCTCTCTCCCCTCTCTCTCTCTCTTCTCTCTCTCTCTCTCTCTCTCTCTCTCTCCTCTCTCTCTCTCTCTCTCTCTCTCTCTCTCTCTTCTCTCCTCTCTCTCCTCTCTCTCTCTCTCTCTCTCTCTCTCTCTCTCTCTCTCTCTCTCTCTCTCTCTCTCTCTCTCTCTCTCTCTCTCGTTCTCTCTCTATTTCTATTTATTTTTATTATTTTTTTTATAGAAATGTCTTAGTGACCACTGAACACCAGATCTCACCCTCACCCTCGAATGATAAGTGGCACCCTCCTTTCCCCTCGACAGGTGGGTGGCCGGGCAGCCTTCTCCCGGCAGCAGTGCCAGTGCCGCCATCATGGTACCTGCTGGAGGCGCTGAGGGACGTCGCTACCTCACCAACTTCAGCCCAGATACCTTTGCTCCTGCTTTCATCTGCGAGAAGTTCTAAGTTTGAGGGAAGTTCTGGGTGTGAGTGTGGGGTGGGGTAGTTTTTTTTTTTGGGGGGGGTAGTTTTTTTTGGGGGGGAGAGGAAAATTATAGAGTTTTGTAGGCATTTTGGAAGTTTTGGAAGGAGAAGGCATTTTAAGTTTTGGATTTAAGGCATTTTATTTTATTTATTTCATTTTATTTTATTATTATTTTTTTAGAAGTCTTGTAGGGAATTATACATTTATATAAATAGTTTTGTAGGGAATATCATATATCAAGTTTTTAAGGATTTCTTTAAGAAGTTTTGTTGGAGGCGATATAAGAAGTTCGGAAGGAATTATTATCATTGAAGGAAGTTTTGAGGGTAATATGGTAGGAAGTTTTATATGGTTTGTATAGGCAGTTGTTAAGCATATTTTGTAGGAAGTTTTAAAGAAACTTTGAACTTCACTCTTTCTAGCATTATTATTTCCCTTGTGGAGATAGAAGAAAAGGATTGAAAGAAAGAGGAAGAGGGAGAAAAGGAGAAAGAGAGAGAGAGAGAGAGAGAGAGAGATAAAATAAATAAAAGGATTTAATATACTAGCTTCATGCACTTATTAAATTGCACCTGTTAATCAGCACACTATTGTTATTGCGAATAAATGTTCAATCAACGCCCTTGCTTTTATGAATGACGGAATAATTACCTGAGGCAAATTAAGGTAAACGAAAATAAAATATGCATAAAATAAAATGAGTAAAATACAATAAAATAAAGGAAACATTTATATATCTAACGAAGATGATTAATAAGATAAATCAGCAATACATGCTTAAGGAATAAAGTTTATAGAATAAAAGAAATTAAATATACATGTTTAAGGAATTAACTAGAGAGAAATTGAGGCAAATGAATAGAAAACATTTATGTCAAAAGAATAAATAGCTGTAAAAAAATATCCAATAAATTTTCATTCTTTTAAAGTAAATAGAAACTCCATTTGTCATATTGTGCACAAAAAGAGTGAAGAGAAAAGTAAAGAAATATGTGAATTAATAAAAAATATGATAATGATAGTAATAACGATGATAATATTAGTAATAGCAGATGTGACCGTGACATTAGTATTACATAAAAACAACGAAGAAAACAAGAAATGAATGAGTGAATAATTGGCTAGATAAGTAGATAAATGAATTAATAAATGAATAAAGAAACGAATGAATGAGTGAATAAACAAATTAGATATTTAATTGAATAAGTTTAATATGCAAATAAAACAGATGAAAACATAAATAAAAAGAGAAAAAGAAAAGAAAAAATAAATGGATAGATGAATATCAGATATCTAATTGAATAAATATATATACAAATAAAGCAGATAAAAACATAAATAGAAAGAGAAAAATAAAAGGAAAATAAATGGATAGATGAATAAAGAATTACTAGGTTTCTAGGTTTCATCTGCCAAGGTTACAGAAACCGTGACCTTGAAGCTGCTGTGATAATGCAATGTTGACCTCTTTGCAATATCAATCACTATCCACGTGTGTTTGTTTGGATCAGAAGTCAAGAAGTTAGTAAATAATAAAAAAAAAAACAATGTAAATATGCAAGAAATTTGTAAAAAAAAAAAATTATATATATATATATATATATATATATATATATATATATATATATATATATATATTATATATATATATATATATATATATAATATATATATATAAAGCAAATATGCTTGACAGAGCAATGACTTTTCAATTTTCTTTGCTATGAATGTAATTTTTTGATGTCTTTACTTATCTCGCGTATGCATACTCTCATATTATATTGTTTTATTTGCATATATAAATATATATATATTTTTTCACAAGGAATGTATATTATGGTAAATCATTAAATGAATAATCAATTTATAGTGTCTGACACTTCCTTCATATTAATTAGTGATTAACATATATACTTGCTGACCATATTAAGCCCAGAGAATTTAATAAAAAATATATTAATTTATTATTTTTTTTCATAATATTTAATTTTCTGCAGTCTTATAGAGTGGTAATGAATTTCAACAATCTTCAATATCAAAAGAAGAAGAAGAAGAAGAAGAAGAAGAAGAAGAAGAAGAAGAAGAAGAAGAAGAAGAAGAAGAGGAAGAAGAAGAAGAAGAAGAAGAAGAAGAAGAAGAAAGAAGAAGAAGAAGAAGAAGAAGAAGAAGAAGAAGAAGAAGAAGAAGAAGAAGAAGAATCTCATAATGTATCTATTTTACATGAATTTTTATCTGTTATTTTAAACGCTTGGAAATTCAAAATATTGATGAGTAATGGTAGATATGTAATGGATATCTTTGCTACTCCAAGCAATTATTTCGACAGATTGGAAAATTTAAGTGCTATTTAAGAAGAATCTTTCGTATTATTTTTCTAATCAATCGAAAATATTACTTAACATATTAATCCAAGCAAATATGAAAAGAATTGCCCATTTATCTTTCTTAATCCAAACAATATATTTTTATTTTGTAATCTGTACATTTACAAAATCGTAGATAGAAGTATTATCCATTTACGAATGATTATTCCGTTTCAATTCACAATGTTGAAAGTTAAAAAAAAAAAAAATAAATAAAAAACACCAATGTATCATTGTAAATCCATGCAATTAATCTGTAATATTGAAAAAAATATATATATTGTAAAAAATATCACCCATACACCTTATATTTTCATAATTCTACATAGTTCATTTCCGTCAATTTGCAACGCTGAAAAGTGGGGAAAATACCAATGTATTTTTTAAAAATGTAAAAAATATCACCCATACACCTTATATTTTCATAATTCTACAAAGTTAATTTCCGTCAATTTGCAACGCTGAAAAGTGGAGAAAACACCACCCACATACCATTCCAAACAACCAACTTCCTAAAACCCGCCATGTTTTCAAAATAACGAAAAGAAACATCACCCTATTTATCTTTCCGAATCCAAACACCGCATTTTCTGCAATCTGCAATGTTGAAGAGAGGTGAAAAGAAGTGCCACCAGATTCCGCCAGTCACTTCACGGTCGACTTTGTCTCTCGTTAGCATCTTGGTGTATCACTCGTCTTGGCAAGTCAAGTGTAAAAGATAACGTATTATATACAAGACGTTTATTTAAGTCTTTGTGCAATAATGGTAAATACATACATACATATAATGTAAGTGTATATGTTTATATATATATATATATATATATATATAATATATATATATATATATATATATATATATATATATATATTATTTAATATTTTTAATATTTTAATATTTTGTATTTTTTAATTATTTTTTAATAAAAATATTATTAAAAGTATTAATTTATTATTTGATAAATTAATATTTTAATTTAATATCTTTTTATTATTTATTTATTTATTATTTTTTATCTGTTAATATTTTGTATTTTTTTTTCTTCAGTTTGGATTTGTATCTAGATTATGCAACCCGCAAGGATGAAGATATATTGAAAATAAAATTTATAAATGGAATATAATTAAACTGAAATTGAGAGAACTGAAAGTTAATGGAAATGTAGGACATGATTTAGAAGGTGTTTCTGTGTGTGTGTGTGTGTGTGTTTAAGCAACAAATATATACACTTACATGTATATGTATGTATGTATGTATGGTAGGTAGGATAGATCGATAGATAGATAGATAGATAGATTAGATAGATAGATAGATAGATAGATAGATAGATAGATTAGATAGATAGATTAGATAGATAGATAGATAGATAGATAGATAGATAGATAGTAATATATATATATATATATATATTATATATATATATATATATATATATATATATATGTATAATATGTATATATATGTATAGTATATATATATATATATATATATATAATATATATATATATATATATATATATATATATATATATATATATATATAATATATATATATATATATATATATATATATATATATATATATTATAAATGTATATATATATATATATATATATATATATATATATATATATTATATATATATATATATATATATAATATGAAATTATAGTAAGGAAAGATGGCTGTATTAGTAATGATTCTCAAATTGGGGATAATTACTCTCATAGGAATAATAAAGCCCTTTCTGGGAATTAATGAAGCTCTTTCATAGGAGTAAACTGACATATAATTGTAATAATATTTTAATAGATGTAGAAGTAAAAAAATGAAAATATGATACAGAAGTGAATGAATTAATGTTTATTATAATTAGAAAATGACCGTATTCATTTCTTACATATAAGATACATAGAAGATTAAGTATTTACGTTTGTTTTCTTAAACTCCATTTTTTTTTTTTTTTGTCGTGTAAACGACAAAAAAAAAAAAAAAAAAAAAAAAATGGAGTACTGGTAATAGTGATCTATCTAAACATAGGCAAGAGTAACGATATTTAGGCGTCTGAGAACCATTGTCAAGATGTCATGTAGCAATACGATTATGTCATGGCTGGAGGTGGATAGGGAGATTCCGTAGAGTTTTGTTTTCTTAAAAATCATTTTTTTTATCTGCCTCGTTATTTCTCTCTCTCTCTCTCTCTCTCTCTCTCTCTCTCTCTCTCTCTCTCTCTCTCTCTCTCTCTCTCTCTCTCTCTCTCTCTCTCTCTCTCTCTCTCTCTCTCTCTCTCTCTCTCTCTCTCTCTCTCTCTCTCTCTTTTATCTATTTCTTTATTTGTCCTATTGTGCTTATACATTTCCCTATCAATTTCATGATACAGTAAAAAGGAGAATATCCTTACCAGATTTTGGGATAAAAATTATTAACTTTTTTCCACGACATTAAGACTTATTGACTTTTTTTTTCTTTTTATATAATTCCACTGAAAAGGTCCAACAACAACTTATATGTTGTATGTTGTATGTTCAGTGTTCAATAACAGAGCCACGAGAAGGAATTAAAGTTCATGTGGTTGTATGTATGTATGTATCTATCTATCCGTCTATGTCTGTCTCTATATATGTCTATAACTGTGTCTGTTTATATCTATCTATCTA